AACGACTGAAGCCAATGACCAATGACATTATTGGACCATATCAATGCTGCTTCAGGCCAGGCAAATTCACCGTTGACCAGATTTTCACACTGCGCCAAATCCTGGAAAAGATCCACGAAAAAACAGATCGACACATTCCACCTATTTGTCGACTATAAAGACGCATTCGACAGCCCTATTCGTTCAGAGGTGTTTAAAGCCATTTCTGCGTTCGGCATTGGTGCAAAATTAACACGGCTATGCAGGATAACTTTAACCGGCACAAGGTCAGCAGATAAAATAGACCCTTAAATATGATTCATACAAGGTGGTAGTTTGTCGTGTGACATGTTATTCGCCTTCGACGATGACGTCGACATATTGGGTCGAACTTTGCCACCTTTGAACGAATTGTGAAGGCAAATCCACCGTTGACCAGATTTTCACACTGCGCCAAATCCTGGAAGAGATCCAGGAAAAACAGATCGACACATTCCACCTATTTGTCGATAATAAAGCCGCATTCAACAACCCTATCCGTTCTGAGGTGTTTAAAGATATGTTTGCGTTCGGCATTCCTGCATAATTAATACGGCCATGAAGGATAACTTCAACTGGCACAATATCAACAGTTAAAGTCGGAAAGGGCCTCTCGGAACCTTTCAATACCGAACGAGGATTCATACAAAGTGACAGTTTGTCCTGTGACCTTTTTAACATCCTGCTGGAAGAGGTCATACGAGATGGCAATGTGAATAGAAATGGTACTCTGTAGACCAAACAATACATGTTACTAACCGACGTCATCGACATAATGGATCGAACACTGCGAGCGGTAACAGCACCACCTTTTGAACGAATTGAGAAAGAGTCTGCCAAAGTGGGACTGGCAGTAAATGACGAAAAGACCAAGCTGATGATATCAAGGCGCAAGATGTCCAGTACAATCGGACCAACTGTGGACCTTGAAAACTATAGCTTCAAGTTAGTGAACGATTTTATATACCTCGATACCACCATAAACAAAACTAATGACATCAATTTTGAGATTCGGAGAAGAATAGTGTTGGCCATCAGATGCCACAATGGTCTGGGTACGCAATCGAAGAACAATGCACGTGCTGTTATAAGGATCTGAATCATGGGAACATGAGAACTCAAATAATCAACTGATTAATTCGTGCATGTTCCTGAGCAGAATTTAACCAACGGTTAAATATGTCGGGCGGCAATCCATCGGCACCTGCTGCCTCTTCAGCCGATTAACTGATATTCTGACGTCATCTTGGTTAGGTGATTTTAAATATCGTTGGTATCAGATTTTCAGATTGAAAATAAAATAACACCAGTGGTGAGTGACAATATGGCGAACAATACGACAGGGACAATGCAGAGGTATTGGATATTTCGCTCAGTCCTTAAATTTAATAGTGGAATCTGGTCGAAAACCCATCAAGGATACTTTGAGCAAAGGTAAAATCGATTGTGGAGTACTTCCGAAGGAACGCCAAGGATTTCAAGAAACTGCTGAATAACCTACAAATGATGGGTCTTCCAGAATTAAAATTGAATCAGTGGAGGTGGAAATCCACATATGAGATGTTAGAGCGTATACTATTGCTTTTGGATGAGTGGGACAGTCTTAAAGAAACATCTGCCATTTTGAAGGCCTTTTATGAAATTACCAGAAAAGGAAGTAACTCTACGTCGATCGAAAAAGGACCCATTATAATGATGGATATTTTTAATACACCAACGATAAAATATTGTCAATAATGGGAAGATAGTTCCAAGCCCGTTTTGGAAATTTTGAAAGAAACGACCTTTATGCAAAGAGTACAATTCTGGATCTGAGATTTAAAAGAAGGGGTTTAAAAATGGATATAACACATAATAAAGCATTAACGTACCTAATGGCTCGAATATCTTCGACTACGCTGCCGAGCGATGAAAAGAACCACGAGCTGAAAAGACCACAGTGTCCCACGACTGGCAAAACATTTGAATTGTAGTCCACTTTCAATCAGGAAACTGATCAGATTTTGAACTCTGACAACAACATCAAAGAATTGGACAAATATATTATTGAGGAGTATCTCGATCGAAAAAAGGCCCATTCGAATGATATATGGTTATGCGCAATATTTTAACGATCTTTATTGCAAGAAGTTCCTCCAACAACGAAACAATATCGGTTATGTTGACAATAATGGAAGGACAGTTCCGAGCACGTTTTGGAAATGATGAAAGAAATGGCCTTTATGCAAAGAGTACAATTCTGGATCTGAGATTTAAAAGAAGGGGTTTCAAAATGGATATAATGCATAATAACGCATTAACGAACCTTAGGGTTCGAATATCTTCGATAACGCTGCCGAGCGATAAAGAGAAACACGAGCTGCAAAGACCACAGTATCCGACGACTGGCAAAACATTTGAATTTTAGCCCACTTTCAATCAGGAAACTAATCAGATGAACTCTTACAACAACATCAAAGAATTGGACCATAATATTATTGAGGAGTATCTCGATCGAAAAAAGACTAATTCGAATGATGGATGGTTATGTGCCATATTTTATCGAGCTTTATTGCAAAGGGTTTCTCCACCAACGAAAAAATATCGGCAATGTTGACAATAATGGGTAGAGAGTGCTAAGTCCGTTTTGGAAATTTTGAAAGAAATCGCCTTTATGCAAAGAGTATAATTCTGGATCTGAGATTTAAAAGAAGGGGTTTCAAAACGTATATAACGCATTAACGAACCTAAGGGTTCGAATATCTTTGATAAAGCTGCCGAGCGATGAAGAGAAACACGAGCTGCAAAGTATCCGACCACTAGCAAAACATTTGAATTTTAGTCCACTTTCAATCAGGAAATTGGTCAATATATATTAACGAGGAGTACCTCGATCGAAAAAGAATGGTAGAGGGAGAGAGTGGAAGAATTTATATCCTCGTGTATATTCGTATTCAAAAAATATATTTCTTTACATCTAAGCTAGTCGATCTTTCTGCAATTGTTTTTAAATCCTCTCCTGTGGGAGTTTTTAAAATAAATATATTTAAAAACCAGTGAGCGGAGCAGTATAGTCGGACGGGGCCGACCATACGATACCCTACACAACTACCACGTAACTCTAACTTTCTCTTGCCCGATTAGAGGTCAACAGCATCTCCTCCTTACACTGACATATTTTCCAAATATTTACAATATTCAGTACAGCCCTTCTAATTACTTATCCAGGTTCCCTTCGCAGTTGGTTGTGTTGTGACGTTCGGCTTTTGGCAATTGATCGACTCGAAAAACACACAAAAAAATTAAGTTTTCGGTCCACTTCATCCCAAAATTATTATCTGATCATCGCCGAAAATTATAGGCGTTGACCTTGACCATAACTGGAACCTCAGCGCTATATTTGCGCCCTCCAGTGTGCTAATGGGTTACTAAGTAATATCTGAATAAGTAAGCACCTGTAAATATTTGCCTGTAACTCCCACATCTTAGTACATACGGCAATATAATTGGTATCAATTTAAAGGCCAACCACTCCTCTTGGATATGCTATCAACTCCTCGCGCCTATGTCCTTCAGGAGTAAATATATACGCTATAGAATACAAATTTTGTCATTTTTCACACAAAAATCAGGGTCCATTTGACCCGCTAAATATTGGCCGATCCTTATCAAAACAGGCATGCTTATTCTTTGGCCCGATCCCCTTCTCCATGTAAAATTTCACGATGTTCGCGCCATAATTGCGGCCTCTGGAGCGTCCAGAAAAACCGACAAAAATTTAGTATTTGGTCCATTTCATCCCCTAAATATTAACCGGTCTTTTCCAAAAACAATAGGGGTCTTCATTGGCCAGAACCCATTCTACATGCAAAAGTTCGTGAAGATTGGTCCATAACTGTGGCTTGTAGCGTGTTTTCAAATTATAATGGACAGACGGACGGACACACACACATGTCTAGATCGACTCAGCTAGTCGAGATATGACGATCGGTATACTTAAAGGTGGGTCTAGGACCAATATTTCGCGGCGTTACAAACTTCTGGGGCTGCACAAAGCTATAATACCCTGACAACATAGTTGTGTAGGGTATAAAAATATATATTTTTGAAAATCGATGCTAATCATTTGGAAACACGTGACTATTTGATGTAAAATCAATCAATCAATTATCAGTTTTTATTGATTATTTGTTAATTAAATTAATTGACGTAGGATAGGGATTAATTGGCTCGTGTGCACGTTTCCGATGCGGAATGATAAGAAAGTGCTAAAAGGAACGAATAATTAAAAAAAAAACTAAGTAGACCTCATATTCAATTGATTTTATAACCTGATTCCAAAAATCTCTGGAGATTATGTTCTCATGATTCAGAATTGTTGTTTTGCTGGCAACGACTGATATCAAGGAAAAAAATATGTTTTTATTTCTCGGAATCTAAAAAAAATATTCCAAAATTTTAAAAAGAAATAACGAAAAAATTCTTCTAGAAGACACCACCAACATCGTTGTCTAGGTTCCAATGTCAATGCATTATTTTTATAATTTCCTATTTTTTTCTGACGAAGAACTGAAACGAAAAACAAAAACAATTGATAAGAACATATTTATTGAGGTAGGTTGAAAGAAAATATTGAACTCAATTAAAAAAAAAAAAAAAACTGGGACTGAGGTATATGACCGCAGACGAAAATAATAACAATGGTGGTAACAACAATAGCAAAGAAAACCGGCAAAAGATAATCTGCAAATGCAGGAAAAATACTCATCATCATCACCATCTTCGTCGACGACCATTGACAAGAAAATTTCCATTGAATGCTGAAAAAAAAAACTGACCAGTCAATGACTTCTTGGTAAACTTGAACTTGAAACGTCGTGGAGAGAACCAGAATAATCATAGTCATGTTGTAAACAATATGAGGTTCCCCATGTTCGGATCTTGCCTTCAAGAATAAACATTTAATTTTAATTTTGTTCTTCTTTATTTTTTTTTACTTCTAGATGCTCGGGCGTCACAGGCAATGTCCGCGTCAATGGCACACCGATTGCCACCACATCACAGAAATTTCGTGAACTTTCATGTTACATACATCAGGATGATTTATTGCGTCCACAACTGACCGTGGGTGAGGCAATGATGCTGGCCACCCATTTGAAGCTGGGTTTTAATATCTCGAAACAGGAAAAGGTGAAGTTGGTGAAACACATTCTGTCCCTATTGGGTCTGGATCATCGTTATAATGTCAAGGCGGGAAAATTATCGGGTGGCCAAAAGAAACGCCTGGCCATTGCATTGGAGCTGATTAGCAATCCATCGGTGTTATATTTGGATGAACCAACAACGTGAGTAGAATTATTGAATTTAAACCAATATTTTTTAAGGCGTGGATTTTTTTAAAAATATTTTTTAAATAATCCACAGTCAAGGATAATAAAAAAAATATTTTTGAAGTATGCCACAGGCGTGGATTATATAAAAAATATTTTCAAGGATAATTAAAAAAAGATTTTGAAGTATGTCACAGGCGTGGATTATTTATTGAATATAACCTAGCTTTACGTGATGGATGACTCTTAAAAGCAAGTTATTTTCGTCATTGATATTCACTCAAACTGTTCCATGATTCTTTTGTCGACTAAGAGATTTTCAGGCGCCTCGATCTTGTGTGCAGTTTTTCCAATTTGAAGGACCTTATTTTGATGTGTCATCCTACACTTGAACTTTCCACCGAATTCGTGACCCCTACCCTTCTGCGTGAATCATCAGTTGGCTCGTTTTTTATGCCTTTTGAGCTGGCCATCCTCATCCATTCTAGCCAACTTAGTCGCTGTTGCTCGATCTGTCTCACAATGCCGATGTCCGAAAATAGATTGTACAAGTCATAGTTCATTCGACGGCGATATTCACCGTCGACGCAAATCGGCCCATAGATCTTTCGGAGAATTTTTCTCTCAAACATTCTAGGAGATGCATCATCTGCCTGCTGAAGGACCCATACTTCTGATCCATACACCAGCACGGGTAGTATCAGCGTCTAGTGTGAGTTTCGTCTGGCGAGAGGTGACCTTGTTTCTAAATTGCTTACATAGACCATAGCGGCATCTGTTGGCCAACACTATCCTTCTCCGAATTTCAAAACTGATGTCATTAGATTTATGTATGGCGGTACCGATGAATATAAAATCTTTGACTACCTCGAGACTGTAGTTTTCAAGTTCCACAGTTGTTTCGAGACTACTGGACGTCTTGCGCGTGGTACTATCAGTTTGGTCTTCTCGCCATTTATTGCGAAACCCAATTTGGCAGACTCCTCAATTTGTTCAAAGGTGGCTTTTACCGCTCGCAATGTTCGACCCATTATATCGATGTCATCGGCGTAGGCGAGTAACATGTGTTGTTTGGTGTACGGAATGCAATTTCCCTTCACATTTGCATCTCGTATGACCTTTTCCAGCAGGATGTTAAAAATATCACACGACAAACTGTCATCTTGTTTCGGTATTGGAGGGCTCCGAGAGGTCCTTTCCCACTTCAACTGCTGACCTTGTACCACTTAAAGTTATCCTGCATAGCCGTATAAATTTTGCAGGAATGCCGAACGTAGACATGGCTTTAAACATCTCTGAACGGATAGAACTATCGAATGCTGCTTTATTGTCGACGAATAGTTGGAATGTGTCGATGTGTTTTTCGTGGGTCTTTTCTAGGATTTGGCGCAGAGTGAAAATCTAGTCATTGGTAGATTTACCAGGCTTACTTAGAACATAGTAGCATCTGTTGACCAACACTATCCTTCTCCGAATTTCAAAACTGATGTCATAAGTTTTATTTATGGTATATAAAATCTTTGACTACCTCGAAGCTGTTTTCAAGTTCCACAGCTGGTGCGAGTCTAGTGAACGTCTTGCGTGTTGATGCAATCAGTTTGTTCTTCTCGCCATTTACTGTCAGACCCACTTTGGCAGACTCCTTCTGAATTTGTTCAAAGGTGGCTGTCGCCCCTCGCGATGTTCGACCCATTATATCGATGTCATCGGCGTAAGCGAGTAACATGTATTGTTTGGTGTACAAGGTGCCATTTCTGTTCACCTTTGCCTCTCGTATGACCTTTTCTAGCAGGATGTTAAACAGTTCACACGACAAACTGTCACCTTGTCTGAATCCTCGTTCGGTATTGAAGGTCTCCGAGAGGTCTTTTCCGACTTTTAGTGCTTAACTTGTGTCAGTTAATTAATTAAATTCATTTTGCAGGAATTTCGATCGCAAACATGGCCCTCAACACCTCTTAACGGATAGAGATGTCGAATGCGGCTTTATAGACGAAGAATGTCAGGAATTTGTCTATGTGTTTTTCGTGGGTATTTTTCAGGGTTTGGCGCAGATTGAAAATCTGGACTATGGTGGATTTGCCAGGCCTGCCAAATGGTATGTTCCAATAATGTCATTGACCATTGGCTTCTGTCATTCATACAGTACGCTGGATAGAACTTTGTATGCGGTGGGAAGGAGACTGATTCCCCTATACATTTCTCTAGCCATATTTTATTAATGAGCTGGTGCATGCTTCTGACCAGCATCTTGCCACCAGTCTTGAATAGTTCGGTTGGTAGCCCAATTGTATTAATGAGCTGGTGCCCAGCATCTTGCCACCAGTCTTGAATAGTTCGGTTGGTAGCCCATCGGCACTTGCTGCTTTATTATTCTTTAGCCGATTTATTGCTAATCTAACCTCATCTTGGCTAGGTTGTATACATTCTATACCGTCATCTCTTATTGATTCTGGGGTCTCTTCTTCACCGCCACTATTTGATACCAGAAGCTATGCAAAATGCTCCTTCCAGATCCTCATCGCGCTATATATACCAGGTCACCAGGTTTCCATCTTCATCCCTATATGTGCCAGCACCAAAGCCTTCGGTTTAATGGTTTACTCGTTGGTAAAATTTCCGTGCCTTGTTCTGACTCTTGTACATCTTGTTTTGCTCCCGCTCACGTTTTTCTTTTCTCTCACAATATTTGTTGCTACTATCTGCAGGGTTGCCCTATATGCGGCGTTTTGCACGTCAGTTGCATTGCGACACTTCTGATCGTACCACGGGTTTCTTGATGATGATGTTTGGTACCCAAGTGTTGCTTTTGCTGCAGTTAATAGTTATATACAGGTGTGCCCGCTATATTATTTTTGTTATGCCTTCTGATCCCGCATTATACCCAAAACATTTTTTAATAGCAGTCAATTTAAAAAATATATATATTTTTCTATTTATTCTCCAAGTACATTCACCTTAGATTGTAATTTCTCACTCCCTGTTTGAATATTGAATTATTTCATTTGTAATAATAATTAAGTTTGAGTGTTAATTACTGGATAGGTGATGACCTCTTCCTGACTTCTGGTATTCCGTAATTCCTTGTCAGAAAAAAATTAATCTATATAGGAGATTAATATTTGTTGTCAACATAACTTTTTTTGTTCTCAGTGTATGGTCTGTCTGTCGAAATAATTAAAATCTCATTTATATAATTTATTTACTTTTCACATTATTGTTGTTATTAGTAAAAACACGCTTATACATGCCAATGTGAATAACATTTTAATGTCAACTACATTGCTTGAAATATCGAAATAATTGGGGGTTTAACAAATGCGGCAGTATAGGACGAGTTTGTTTTTTTGTGGTAAAAGTGCTAATGGCAGCAGGCAGATAATAGAAGAATTTAAACCTGAAAAAATTGGGTCGAAGCACCCGACAATAAAATTGAGGATTGAGTTAATAACTGTCATTGGTTAATGTATATATTTTATGGTGTCTAAATAAGGAGTAACCAGAGACGTATAAGGAGGTCTTTAGACAATGAATACGGAATACCGAAAAACTTTATTGAATTTGATCAAACTTTACACGATGTTTGACAATTATTAACAAGATGTTTGTGTCGATACACTGCATTCAAACTGTTCCACACTGCTATTGCCGATTTATAATTTTTTCTCTCCTTCTCAGAGATAACCTTTGAGACCTTTTTTGCTCTAGCCAGGATAAAATGTATGTGTCTGTTGAAACCAAATTTCTGATGAAAGATGACACAGGTTTTATCCTGTCCTTTACCTCCACTATATTAAGATCAATTTGTAGGAGCGGACGGTAGGTTCTAAAACTTGGCAAAATATACTGTGTCTTACCCGTTATCATTATAGCCTATATAGGATCGCAAGAAAATCATTCAGCTGCACTTCCATTGTACGATCCAGTGGACCTGTTAACGCCAGAAGCACGCCATCGGCGTAAAATAATGCTAACCCTCCAGGAAGAGGCGCAGGCATATCACTTACGTAGTAGTGATGTTAGGGTTACGCCTGCCAGAAAGGGGTTTTCGACTAGAGAGTCTCCCACCAACAGTCATTCTGTAGAATCTATCAGATAGAAAACTACCTACTAACCTGCAGATTTGGTTATCACTACCAAATTACTGCAGTTTGTACAAAAATCTTTGATGTCATACGGAATCCAAGGCCTTTGAAAAGTCTATGCCCACAGCTGCATACGAAGAGAAGGACGTAAGGGCATGAACAGTGGACAGGCCTGCCCTAAACAAAAACTGATTGTCCTCTAAAATTCTCTTATCTTCAACTATTATTTTGATCCTAGCTAGATGAAGGATTCAAAAAGTTTGCCAAAGCTCATTAAAAGTGATATCGGCCTATAGCTACCACATTGCTCCGGTGGTGAGCCCCTTTTATATATGGGAACCAACAGAGACCATGTTGTTTCCACGCCCTATGAAAGTATCCCAGGTTAAGACAGTGATTAAACAATACTGTCAGAAGATTAAATATTACCTCGCCAGCCTTTAGGGCAGGATTTACGTGCTAGTCTCTTGGCTAAGGCCGTACCCTCACTACCGGCGCGTAGGAATCCACCCTCGTTCCAACGAGTAGCGTCATCCACAAAAGCCCCAGGCAGTAAATGTCTCGCTAAATTCAACCAAAGTAGACCGATCATTGATCGCCGATCCGATTAACTCGGTCACCTATGGAATTTTCGACCGATCTACCCTGCATATGGTTTGGCAAGGCTTTAGTTTTTTCGTTGCCACCTAATGACATTTTACAATTCTTGACTAATCTTAATTGGGCACTCTTCATATTCAGATTCTTTCGTATTCCATTTATTTTGAACCGGGTTTCAAGTAGCTTGTTAGCAGTGATGGTTATTACATACATACTTAGCTGGCTTGTTACAAAACGGTTGTTCCATATGCCAAGCTTAAAAAAGATTTCCAAGCGCGTTGGTGAAAGACCATACTCCGAGATATTGTCATCTACTTCCCATTCCGTGTG